CAAAGGTTTTTCGGCTTCCCTGATGTCAGCTAACACAGGGCGTGAGCTACTGCTCCGCATCGGTGGAATCTTGGACAATCTCCAGGCCTCTGAAGAAGACGAAGCGGTCGAAATCATAAGGCCAGTAAATAAAGATTCCATCTTAAAAGCCTCGTTTGGAATACAGCATAAACACTTCCTTTAACCTCGCGACGAAAAAATCGCTAAAGAGCGACACAAGCAAAGTGTTATTTTTCGGCCATCCTGCGCCTTACCCCCCCCCCCTCCCATATTCAAAGGCAATGAACCCTTCTTCAACACCTCCACTTTGTCGAGCTCTACATGAAAAGCGAAGCAGATCGCACATTGGTTGCAGTTCGACACCTGCCCAAAATGTGCGTGACTTGTGTAAATTGGATATCCGTTTCTCGGGCTCGTAGTTCATAGACCTCATTCTACACAGAGGCTAATATCGTTTCACATTCACTTCCTGTCCTTGTCGGATACTATTGGATCAATGTAGTCCGCAGGAACAGCCGCACAAACATATTAGACCGGTGTTTGAAAGCCGAAATTTCATTTCCGGATGCCTCTAATGTTGGCTGGGACAACAGTAGCATTAGTACAGAGCATTAGGTGATTGTCAGACAGGACACGTGTACCCGCCGAGGTAAAAACGACAACACAATGACCGGTAGTAGACTTTTTATAGCATAACCTCACTCCCTATAGTGTGTGCCCCCGGAGCTTCGTTTGTCATCTTATACCATTCAACTGCGGACAGCTTGTTGGGAAACGCTCTCCGGTCTAGAGAATTGATAAAAAGAACTCAAGTGTCTCTTAAAAATGAGTCACTTTGATAGTCACCATTCCGTCCGTGTACGAATCTTCTTTGTCATAATCAATATATTACATAGAGTGATTACTCGAGCCGTGGACGAACTACGCGCGCTTTGATACTGTTGTGTGTAGGAAGATGAATGGTAGGTCAAAGCGTAACCGCTGAAGGCAGATGGTCGATAAATTAGTTGCGCGTTGGAAATGGAATCAGAGCGCAGGCGGGGGCTCATCGGGGCTGACGTTATCAACGTGAAGGGTCTGCGGCCGGCCTCTCACTTCAGGGTCAACCCTGCGTTGCGCAAATTCCCAAATTAATTAAAAATTTTTACGACCCCCTTCCTTTTCGGGGGTATCGGTACGACCCCCCCCCCATATTAACTATCATGTCTTTCACATAATTTAATGCTCATCAATGCTCATCATGATGGCAGTCACCAACATGGAGAAGTGGTGGACCGTGGTCAATCCGCGCGCTCTGTCTCGCTCAGAGGAGGGAATCGAGGCAAATGAAGTTTTATTCATTAAATAGAAGGAATTTTCCAAATTTTTGCGTAAACCAATACATCATTTTAATCGTAAAGATTTCTACTTTCAGAAACCCACCAGGATTTTTTCGATCTCTCAACTTTCCTTACCTTATAATCTGAAAAACTAAACCTTGTAGCAATTACATTGCAATCCAAACCCCTCCATTCAGAAGGTTATATTTTCTTTCAGAAGCTGTTTCATGAAATCGGACACCAAAATTTTGAAAATATAAATAGTTTTCTTCCTGAGGAGTATTTGAAATGTTGTGGATGTTCAGTATTTCAAAAAATCGTCCCGTTGTTCCGTTTTCTGTGCACACGCGAGTTTTTGACATTCAAACATTCATAACTTTCTTCATAATCAACTTTTTGCAAATGTCTAAGGCTAATTAGAAACTAGAAGATTAGAGCTTTCGAACAAGCACCTGAAAATTTTCCAGCGATCATTTTTTCAAAAAATAGTCCCGTTGTTCCGTTCTTGGGTGGTTTGGGGTCCGATTTTTGAGAAGGCGCGAGTTTTCGACATTCAAACGTTAATAACTTTCTTCATACTCAACATTTTGCAGATGTCTAAGGCTAATTAGAAACTAGAGGATTAGAGCTTTCGAATAAGTGCTAAAACTTCTTGAAATAATCACTCGCTCAAAAAATAGTCCCGTTGTTCCGTCAATTCCACCTTGATTTTTTTCAAGCCTTTTTCCTGGACCGCGACTATGCAGTCTTTAAAGGCCCATAACTTCCTTTGAAATTAATGTGATGAGAAGCGGTAAAGATTGTTGGAATCCACTCGAAGAGTACTTCATAACAACTGTGAAATTTCCCTGAAATTCTTCTTCTGCCTCAATTTTCCTACGGCGTCTCTAGAACTCAATTCAGCAAATTCGCTACACTTTGTTTCGCTTAGATTTTATTTGAAAGCATCGAAACTCTCTTCAGAAAGTTTGTCTGCTTACGGCCGCTGACAGAGGAGGCGTTTTTATGGGAAAACGCCTCGGGTATACGCCGTGCACCTATCTGTGGGCAGAGTTCGCACTCGCATTTTGAAGTCTTCTGTTTTCCTGAAGAAGGTGTTAGTATCCTGATTGAGTTGCATTGTGCTGTTATATGGCACTCTTGTTTCACTTTCCCATGAACTGCTCTACACTTTGTTCTCCTCGGGATTTCAGGAATGTTTCATCATCGAAGACAGACCATGTTTTTGCACTACACTGTAACAAAGTTTTTGGCTATTGTCTATTGTACTCTTGATCTATGCCGCGGAGCAAAAGCGCCGTCCGGATAGCGTCGCTTAAGGATAATAAGCTGATGGTGAGACTTATAGTGCTCTGCATGCTTTAATGCTCCCATGGAGCTCATGTCTGTGTGACTCTCCGACAGCGTGCAGAGCTCCTGGAGAACATTAGAGGCTGAAAGTGCACTCCCGGACACTGCACTTTTCAAGCCGTCTTGCAGCCCGTCTGTGGATACGACCCCCTCCCTTTTCGGTCGGCTGAATACGACCCCCTCGTTGTTCTTTGCGCAACGCAGGGTTGACCCTGGTTCCACGACGTCTGGTACCAACGGTTAGGGCCGCAAACGCATCAAACTGCGAGTTCTTAGAGGCGGTTAAGCCTGTCACGTCGCTAGTATTGAGTCTAAAAGCTTGTGCTATCACACCCTTTCAGTCCTTCCAGTAAAATAACGCCCTCCATCTGTTCAGAGACTTGGCCAGACCACTTTACATGTGATCGCGGTTAGAAAGGTGCCTATTTACGGCTGTGTTTGAAATTTATTACTAGGAGCTTCAATAAATACGGTACTCGCCGTAAAAAACGTCAAAAAAACGCGCGAAAAACGCGAATTTGCGTTTTTTCGTTATAACTCGGTTCAAAATTGAGATTTTCAAAATCTGAAAAAAGCATTGAACTCAGCTCGTCGAGTTCTATAAGAATGTGCTTTTAAACTTTTGGAAAGCCCTACTTCAGATTGCGCCATGCACTCGAGCTTTGGCTCGAGAAAAATTGTTTGAATGTGGTGCGCATATAATCCCGCTTATGCATCATGATCGTTCTTCAGAGAGATGGGTCTCAGCAGTTGCCCCAGAACGCGCCGCGTATTCAACATCGTCCATTGTATTGTGAATGGATCGATTGCTTTTTTCCAGATTTCATGGTCCCTATTCCATAGCGGCGCGTTAAATGACTCAACATGTACATGACTGCGCTCAACATCTCCTCCTCTCGTGTTCAAATGGAAATCATAGATCATTTTTCAGCAGGACAGTTAGCCTATTTGGTGAAATTTTCCAATGTTTGAACGAAGGTTTTTCCGAAATCTGAGGAGGTAGCGGGAAATTTCTTCACAGTTGTAGAGTACGCTTACTTGTGTGTAGGAATAAGATCACACACTTGCTTGCTTGCAGATGACCGCTCCCTGCGTGCTGTGGCCATGAACATGCCTCCTCGTCATGCCCTAGCCTATTTGGTGAAATTTTCCAATGTTTGAGCGAAGGTTTTTCCGAAAACTGAGGAGGTAGAGGGGAAATCTCTTTACTGTTGTAGAGTACGCTTCAACTGGGGAGGAGTAATGCATATCATTCGATAGCATTTTTCACGGGGAATCTAACGGGGCACATTTCAGGTCTGCGAGTTCATCTGGAAATGCAAAAAATCTGATCTTTCCACAAGGGCATGACGAGGAGGCATGTTCACAGCCACAGCACGGCGGAAGCGCTCGTCTACAAGCAAGTATATCATCTTACTTCTACACCCAAAATATGTATGATTGCTACGATGGTTGCGGCGTTCCATAAGGCAAGGGTGGTGCAGAACTGGTGCAGAGCCAATTTTGTCGAATTCATCACTTTCAACGAGTTGGTCAGCATTTCAGATTCTATATAAATGGCTTACACTGTGGAATTGATTCTGTAAGCTGAAAGCTTGCATGGAACTTCACATTTTTGGGGATTATTTTGAAGAATTGCTTCAGAATACGTAGGACGGGTTCCACGCACCACCTTGCGTGCCACCGTCGATGGTTCCTCACTGCTTCTCAAGGCCCGTATAAGTGCCAACGAAGGAATTTTCTGAGATTTGGCAGATGTTTACGATTCATTATTGAACAGTGAACGTTACTGCATTTTTGGCTTCTTGGAATTGTGGCATGTTCATTCTAGGCGACTCGAAATCGCTGTCGCTATAATTTTGGCGCACCCTGTACACTGGAAAAGAGGATTTCATTTATCAGTGACCAGAAAATCGAAATAACGGCTCTGATGTTTCATAATAGTAGATATAGGTAGGAAGACCAGTGCCATTGCTTCTAATTTACATTTATCGTAGTCAGGTTGAGTTGTTGAGGAGACTCTGCCACACATTCAGCAAGACACTTCAATATATCTCTCAATATATTTCTGGAAGTCTAAGCGATGCGGTGACAAGCGCCCTTTGCAAAGAACTTGCTTGGATTTGGAACAGTCCTACTCATCAAAAAGCGTTCTGTCTGTTCATCTGCTCGTTGGTCTGTCGGACCGTCTGTAGTACTATGTACCTGAAGATGTGGTGGCGAGTATGGATCAAATTTGGAAAGATGGTTCACAGGCCAAGAAGTCTAGAGCACGCATCAGGTGAGCGGAGCCCATTCCAAGTGGGCATGGTATACACCGAACTGAGCCTGGCGAAAATTCCCAATTTGATTTCAAAACAGCTGAGAAACCGGAAAAGGTGAGTATTGGATTGTCAAGTTGAATTAGAGAGCACACAGCTGTCACCAGTATGACATTTCAATAACTTGTCCCTGGCTTTCACAAATTCTGATGTTTTGAAAAAGTCTGCTTTGCTGAAACTTCATGCAATATTTATTTTTCACTGCTTAAGAGTTTTACCTTTCTTAATTTGCCAGAAGATGCACCGAGATTCCATGTAATCTATTGTCTTGTAGTAGTATTGGTTGCATCCAACAGCTGCTAGACCTAGTTTACGGATCTGAAAGAAATTACTGAAGGAAATCATTCCTGGTCAAAATATCAGATTCATCTGAACAAAGGCATACGTATAACATCTACTGCACGATATTTGCAAAACGCGTCTAGGCTGGAGGACGCACTGTCCTACGGCATTTTGAGGAGACCAGTGCTTTTCCACGTTACCCAATAGAATGGATACCGGTAATAGCAAGAAATATAACAAGTATTTCTGTACACTAGGACAAGAACATGGAAGCGATAAAGTGGGAAATAATTCACCACCATCCGCCATCCTGGATAGTTATATTTTGCCCAGACCAGTGAGGCTGCGATTTAGTGCAATATGATGTTGAAACAAATATATGTACACTAAGGCAAATTCGATCAACTGAATAACTCACCTTTGTTAGCGTACTGAGAGAAACCCCACCAGACAGTTTCGTTCACTTTTTCCACCATTGATAGTTCAGGACAACTCACAGCCCTTGAAGAACGTCGTTAAATGAGAACAAATATAGCGGATAATTACAATAGCAAACCTTCGGACTTTGAACTCCACCAGAGGTGGCCAGATAGGGTCTGTATGCTCTATTCTGAACAGAGCGATAAGAGACAACAAATTCTTCCATATCTGTAAGCGAATGCATGCATTGAAATAAGTTGAAATATTGACAGAGAAACTATATTGCCAAAATCAAGCTGCGTTAATGGGATACGAAAAGGTGAAGCTGTTAGAGTCAGTATTGAGATGCGCCATGCATTCTACATCATAAAATCGTGGTGACGTTATAGTAATTCCAACAACTTCTACTGAAGAACCCATCTTTGCTTTATTGGCTGAACGAGTCTAGATGGTGGTTTGAAGTACTACTTATTAATACACGCTTTAGCATGGGGATGATACGTACTGCTTCCCATGATCTGTATTCTATGAATGTGTATACCTATATATACATATTATATTTAAAATGAACACATATCCATATATATTGAAAAAAAACTAACCAGATTTTCATTAACATGCCGCAAGAAAGCTAGATACACTTCCTTGATCTCGTCGGGGAGGGGATCTTGAGCTGTAAAACCTGTTTCTGCACTCTGAGTTGAGAGCTGAAGTAGCCAAATGCCGAACTAGACCCCGGACGTTACTTTCAAACGGCACAAATTTCGCACTCACCTCGAGCGCCGGAATTCACAGCTAGGACAATCAGCAGTGCAGAAATGAACAACATTTTGACTGCGACTCGATCATGACTTCATTGTTCTTTCACTTTTATATGCGTGGCAATAGTGCACTTCTGCCACACTCGTGCTTATTGACTTTCCGTCAGATTCGTCGGAAAACTGTGTCGAGTAAAATGTTATGCTCATTTTTTTATGCGTCAAGTCACGTATGCTGTACATCAGAGAAGTTTGTTGTTTATTGTTGGTTGGATACTTCCCTTCAGAGATACGTAGCGCTTAAAGGCAAAGTTCGGGCTCAGACCCACTTAATAAGCCCTTAAGTGGCTAGAAGTGCATGGGACGCAACTGCAGGCGACTCGCCACTTCCCGCATCGAAATGCGTCACTAAGGCGCTAGGGCCAAGGACTTTGACACGCTCCACCTGTTGCGACACGCTCCGCCCACCGCTCGATATCTTGTCTGCGTCGCAATGTTGATCTGCTATGCTCTCTCTACTCGGACTTCTCTACGCTCTCCGCGCTCACATTATCTCTCATCTCCCTGCCGGCCTTTTGAACTTCTCCGCAGCGTAGAGCAAAAGGCTCGTATTTCCTGTGTATTTCACGATTTTTTTCCTTTTTCTCCACTGGCGGTCCACCTTCCTACCCCTACTTTCACATTTGAGTGGAATTACCTCATCAATTTAATCCTGAATCTTGCCTTCAAAAGTCCTTGGCCGAATGCTTTACGGCCGTAATTTTCTGCTCAATCAAATCAGTTCAGATTAGAAGAAGTTAGAATGACACTAGAAACGCTCGAGTATGACCAAATTCCATGTAGATTTCAAAGAGTTGCAAAAAGCTTAAAAGTCAACAAAACAATCGACAGCATGGTGAAACTTGATGGCCTTGTGGCCTTCTGAGGTTGCTGAAGTCTGAACAGGGGCCAAGTGTGGAACCATCCCCTCCGTTAAAGGCATGTCATACTGGCGAGAGCGCTCTTTCACAGTTGTGGTGACACACTTTGAATCGCTCTATTGCTAGATGAAGAAGTCAATTCAGTGCAGTTGCCCTGCGATTGGATACGCAAAACATTTCAAAGCCTAACTCTACACGTCAGCCTTCATCACTTCTCGAATCCTGTGAAGTTATCTGACGGCGAATGATAGCTACTGGAATGCGTCTGCGCACACGTGAACTGGAC